CCAGAGTTGTGGCCGTTGTCTCATAACCGGCCACAAAAAATAGTAGGCATTGAGCGATGATCTCGGCTTCGGTTAACTTCTTCTCCACGACTCCACTCAACGCCTGTTTTTCTGCCATCAGTTCGTCGACGCCTTCGTTCACGTGATGTCCAGACATAGCATCGGTGGCCACAGAGTCCGCACCCGTAGTCATGTTGTCCTCTCTCTTAACGTCCATTAATAACTGCATAAAATCATTGCGTTTTTTGCCCGACTTCTTGCGCTCAGACATCAGCCGTTGTATGACATCAATGAAAAACATGGCGTTTGATTGGACCCCTTTGGCCAGCCGTTTCCACACCGGGGTTTTGGTCAGACAAGTGGGTAAAATCATTGCCACAAATGTCTGCCACGTTATGAGTGAGAATACGATTGTCATCACGCGATTGGCTTTCATCACAAACGGATTGCTGGCATCGAAATAGGGGTGGGTTTTGGTGGCGAACGCAGTGCTGGCGATCACATCCATACTATAGGCGCCCATCACTCGCTTTAAGTCCACTTCCGTCTGACCGGTGGACACGTCTCTGTCGAGTGCGGCCAAGAAGTCGCGGCAACACTCGTCGATGAGTGGGTACAAGCGTTTCAATTTATATGAGCTGAATGTGGGACTAGCTATGGCTCGGATCCGTTTCCAGTGGTCGTCCCTCGCTGTGAGCATTGTCTTTGAGAAAACACCGGTCCCTTTGCCCGGCACTGGCCGTCGGTTACGGAATTTGTAAAAGTCTTTCACCAGAATCTGTTTGATGAGCTCCGGGTCGGACACCGTTAGTATAGGTGCTCCCCATTCATAAAACCTGGCATTTGATTCAAACAACATAATAATAATTAAAGTATTTATGTTCATTATTATTATGTATAATAAATTATTATTAATAACAGATATTTTTAATACCCGTGGGTTTTGCCGTAAGTCTTATACCAATCCATATCAACAACTGGTCTCGCATTTAAGGCAAGGCTTAACATATTTCCCACATATGGTATGGGTTTCGGACCCGAGATATTGCGTTCCGACCAGTAATTCAATATACGATACCATTTGCTATAATTAAGTAAAGTTTGTTTAAAAGATTATTCTTAATTTTGTTTATTTTCGCTATCGGCCACAGCAATGGACACAAAAAATCATCTTTGTATAAAATATTTATAGTATAAATTTTATACTTACATATACTCTAACGTGATCGGAATAATGGCCACAATAGCCACTACCAAATACAACAGGTTTAGTGCGTTAAATGTTGTGATAAACAGTGAAAACAATGTCATTAATGCCATTACTTTTATTGATGTTTATTAAAACAATATAAAATATTGTCATTTAATTGTGAATTATTTGCGCCAAAACTAACTGTAATTGTAATTTGCATAAAGAATTTATACCAGAAATGTATTAAATTATCCATGTGTAAATTATATACAATGTAAATTGTTTAAACTAATAATATTATGTAAAGTTTGTATTATATCTTATATATTACCGGTATATATTGTAAAACATTCTACCAGCTCGGTTTAACCAGTAATAAGGATATTTAAATAACATATAATTAGTAAATAAACCACATTATTCGTAATGATTTTTTGTGGGAACCTTTTTAAATATACAACTGAGACCTTGGAACCTAAATGAACAGTTATAGTCTTATAGATATAGTGTAGATTATAATTTTGCTATTATTTAAAATAATTGCAAGATTTTATTTTGAAATATGGTGATAATTGAGCTACACTTTTCAAAGTTATAACAAAGTTAAAGTTAACACAAAATAATTACATTCACGCGCCTAACTTTATGGGTATTTAATGATTAAACATAAAAAATTATATTAAAAGTTACATAAAAAATTTATTCATATAAAGATACCAAACTGGATTTTTGTTTTATTTGTTATGCAACTTACTTGTTAAGCATATAATTTTATTTATAATAATAATAATAATTTTAAAAATTATTTAATATAGCATAGTATAAATATTTTCATAATCAGTATATTTTAGAGTATTTTTATTTTGCATAATTTTTTTAAACACATATTTTGGTAAAACTATGGTCATTTAGATGGCACACACAAAGCATACTAGCGATTGTCCAAAAAATTGACCTTGTTTATAATTTTCAAACACACTTGCACATGCTCATTAGCACAACTAATTTGCTAAAGACTTAAGCATGTAAAAACATACAATCTCCTTGATAATATTAATTATTGCTTAAATATAACAAAAACACCACTTAATTCACACACGGGATGGTCGGCCACGACATCCATCTTTTCGCCAAACCATTGGTGATTGCAGTGTTGGCCAAAGTGGTCGTCTGCGGCCTCTGTCACGGGGTGTGCGACCACGCGGTGGACACCCAATGCGGGCACCGGTACTGTCGCCAGTGTATCGCCGATCACATCACAGCCACGGGAGTCGGTCTCAAACTGTGCCCGGAATGTGACCAGTCGTTGGTCACCGACAAACAGCTCTTAGCCACGGATCAGACGGGAAATAATGACATCAATGGTTACGAGACAATTGGCGGCGAAGTGCTGGTAAAGAGCAACGACATCGTCAACGGTATTATCAACGCGTTGCGGATCCGTTGCGAGCGCTCCGGTGACGGGTGTCCGGCGGTCGTACCGGTGGCCGAGTTGGCCGCCCATCGGCGCCAATGCCCGTACGCCGTGTGCGAGATATGCGACGCGTTGGGCGCCAACACTGACGGACACGACTGCGTCCAAGAGCTGAAGAGAGATCGCAATGAGTGGCGCGAAAAGTGCGGTTCAATTGAAAACAAATACAAGTGGATGAAGGGGTTGGCCATAAGGTTGGCCGAGAAGTGCAAGACATTGGCCGCACAACTAGCGGACAGTCAACAGATCCAAGCGTTCAACGAGATTCAACTCGAGTGCCAGAAGCGGATCAATTTGTTTCATCAGAGCGCTGGTGGAGGTCAGGCGCCTCATCCGAGCCAATCAACTGCTGATAATTATAATGGTTTAGTGGATGATAATAGTGATGATAATGAGTGGACACCCGGCCTAACGGTGCCGATCGCCTGTTGTGTGATGTATGGCAAGGCTGTAGCCACCAGTGGTAGTGTTGAGTTTGGCGCCAATTGCCTTACTTTATTAGACATACCAAACAATAATCTGCGCTGGATCAAATATTACATCGCGTTGCCATACGTTGAAATACAACGTCTATACCTGTCCGCCGATCCGGCGCTGCCATTGGTGTGCATTAAACCAGTGGACAATTTGGGGGTAAAAATCAAAGAGCATTTTAATATAATCACTAGTGATTCAGGTTTGTTTAATTGTGTTTTTTAAACAATCTTGTTTATTATTAAACATAAAATGTGTCTAGTTTACTTATAACCTTATGAGCCAAAAAGTGGCCTGACAGGCCACCAGTATAATAACCACGTCATAGTAAAATTACTTTTTCTCTCATTTATGGCACTCAAGCTTATAACTAATGTTTTGTATGTTTTGTGTGTTTTCAGAGACGACTGACCAGAATATTCTGTTGGTATTGAAGGCCAGAATCGACGACACGTTTGCCAAACGATTATATAAATGGTGTCAACGCATGAAAGTCTCGTGTGTTTGCAAGAAAATCGTGTCCATCGAAAGCATAGGTGATTAGCACAGGGAGGGGGAGGGGGAGGGGAAGGGCTCGCAATTGATTCATTGATTATCCATCGCATATGACTTATACAATTTAATATAAATCTAATATTTATTTATTTAATAACTTTTTTTGTTAATTGTTAATGTAAATTCTTTATAATATAATTGTAATTTTATATTGTAACAATTATATAATTACAATATAGTAATATCAAACTTTAATAAACTATGTGTAAACCATAAAGAATTGTTTGTTTGGATATTAAAAATGGTTAAAATGTTAAACATTGAATTATAGAAAAAATTTCCATCATGCTATTACTGATATTATATTAATTACTTTATCTTAAACCATATACAATTTAATATTTATTATAGTAAGTAATATTATTTTACTACAACAAAACTTACAACTCAATGTTTAACATTTATACATACCCTAATGAATAAATTTATTCATAATGACTAAAATCATATTTAAATCACGTTGAGATCACTAATCCCTAACAAGAGTAAGAGTAATATATAGTCTTCGGTCGCAATTGTGAATGGCATATAACGCCCCCTTTCATATTTGCAATGTATGTATGACGTCAATGCATAGTAATATACAGGGAAATATTTAACCACAATTCTACATGAATAATGTGATTTATAGGATCGTTTGGTCCCCTCCTTAACTTCTGCCATAATAATTATTTAGTACAATTATTTTATATTTGTACACTACACCGCTTTTAAATAATAAGTGTTAATAGGTTACGCAATTTGAGAAAACAATGCCCCCTATATTGTACTGTTTTAGCATACCTGTATTTATCAATACGGATTATTTATTTAAGGCTTATTATTTAAAAGCGGTGTTATAGAAATAATATACCAATTCATTCACATAATTATGTTTAATAAGAATTTCAATAATATTTAAATTGATAGTAAAAGGGTTACGTTTTAATATACTATCATATGACCCATATTTGGATATTATGCGGCGTAATACGGTAATAGAAGTTTAAATAACCCCTATAATTGATCAGACAAAATGAGTGTAAGTTTAAATGATTTTAAGTATGATATTGTAAAAATAAATATTTGTCAACAATTTTTTCCAAATGTGGTGCAATGCAATAGGTTTGCCACTTAGTACGTGTTATTGTATAAAATCAGTACAGTTGGGAAAAAAATCTTGTTGCAATTATTTTTTTAATTATAGAAATGGGTGTAACGTATAAAATAAATGTAATAACAAAACATATTTATTCATTAGGAGTAGTCTTATAAATTGCATTATAACTAATTTAATAATAAATTAAAATATTAAATTCTAATTATTAATACAATAAGAGTGTTTCATGTACAATACAGTATTTATTATTAATATTAATTCAATATTAAAAAACATTGCAATTCAAATGCAATGTTTGATTGCATTTAATCATAGCAACAATTTTATTCAAAATATTATAAATATACTAGTCATTAATACTTGAATACGGAAATAGGCTTCAAAATAGCAGCTCATTATATAACTACGTGCAGCTCAATAGATAAGTGTATAAAAACAATTGATTTATTGAAAATATTTTAAGCTATTAAAGTGAATTCAATTTTGGCAATATATCAAATATATTAAAATCATGGCATTATTGTGTATTATGCCAAAAATAAAAGAATTCGTTGGTATTATAATAATTAATTGCAGAATTAATTTTACAACATTACTTAAATTGAGTGCAAAATTGTTAAGTTTTTGTGTGTTATTTTATGGGGCCGTAGAGTTAACAACAAATTACTTCAGTTATCCCAACGTCTATAGCGTTAACGTAAAGCTGAGCAATGAATTGCGTTTACCAGAGATTACTATCTGTACGGAAAGGGATGTGTTTTTTAACAAAACAAAACTTAATAACGAATTTGGATTAAGCCATGAATACGAGTTGTGGAAACAAGTGTCAAAAATTAAGTCAAAATATAATGTGAATAAATATTGCAAAGATGATAAATCAAATGATAGTTATCCATATGTTTGTAAAATACCAACATTTGTTGAAAATTATTATTTAAATAATTTTTATGACAAATATTTGCCGCTAATGTTTGCCAACTATTCATTCACCGATTTATTCAATAGATTTTCAATTAATGGCAACGAACTGATTAACTGTTCGGCAAAAGTGGGCATAAAATACAACAATGAGTACAGAGTGTCCGATAAATGTGTCTCTAATGACGACAACAATGTTTTGCACAGTATTTACGGTACGAAAGACTTTGGCGTTTGTTTAAAGTACTTCTCAAAAGACGGAAATACTAATCACTTCTCTCTCATTGACGACCATTTCGTTGAGTTTCATATCTCGTATGAAAAACAGCAAAATTTTCTTTTACCTGAAACTCATTTGGATATTAATTATGATAAACATGTTTATAAAAATCCAAATATGCCGATAATAAAATTTCAATCATTTGATGAATATATTGTATTATATGTATTCGTGGATCAAATGTCTAATGAATTGATGGCAACCAAAGAAACGGCACTTAAGATACCGAGTGTTGGCATAAATGCTAGGATTAATATATACAACACTTATGTGAACCGATTGTCCGCACCTTATATGCAATATTGTCAACAAAATTCAGGTAATATTAGGTGATATTAGTTGAAAATATAATTATAAAATTTTTAATTTAATTAACTTTAATTGAAATAGATTCTCATATGAAGTGTTATTGGGATTGTATTTATCGAAAATATTACAAATTATATAAATGTATACCAAATCCATATTTGAATGTAGAGTTTATTCTCCAAAATGCGAGACAAACAGAGTATGAGTTTTGTAATAATTCTGTGAGTTTTAAAAACTTAAACATAACTTACGATAAATGCAAAGATTTTTGTGTTAAGGATTGCCATCAGATTTACCACACCTTAGAGTTGGATAAAACAGAGTTTATGGGACTCACAGATAGTGTANCATCAGATTTACCACACCTTAGAGTTGGATAAAACAGAGTTTATGGGACTCACAGATAGTGTACTCAGAATTCAATACAAATCATATCATGAGTTTCATTATACAAATCAAGAAAAATATGCATTTGTTAACTACTTGTCAGACATCGGGGGTCTGTTTGGGCTGTGGTTTGGGGTAGCGTTCATAGACACGAGTGCTTTGATTGGATTACTATTTTCTCGCATTAAACGCATATTTCACTCAATTATTAGTAATAAATTAGTACGTGTTTCAAAAGTAATATACAATTGGATAAAGCAATTGCTTTCTCGACTGGAATCGTTTAATTGGCGAAGAATTGTGTCAATCATATCAATAATTATAATTATTTCGCAAATCTATTCACTAATTTATGATTACTTCTCATTTCCCACACAAACGACACTTAAAATGATTCAATTGAAAGATATTTCGACAAATAGTATACCACTTGAATACATACCAGCCGTCACTCTATGCTATGAACATGTTTTTAAAGATATTATGTTTACTAAATCAGTGAACAAATATATTGAAAGCGTCGCATCAAAAGTTAAAATAGATGGTTTGTATAATAACTCAACAGACTCATATCCAAATAAATTATCATGGTATTATTTTATGGGATTAAATCAATCATCTGAATATCAGGACCTTTACAAAATTTTGTCTATTTATTGGTTAAAATACTTTAATGTTTCAAATAAGAAAGCATTTGATAAAATTTATCATGATCGTAATTTTCAATATGGTTTATCGAACGCAACAATAATGGATTTAAAGCAATTTGATAATTATATTAAATGTGACTTTGACCAAGAATCCTGCGGTCACATGAGGCCACCAGTAGTCACACTATCGCCGTTTGGTCGGTGCCTGACATTTCTTACCAGCATATCAATGGCCGATAATATATCAGCGCAACCATTAGCTAACCCTATCATCGATGATTCAAAAGTGATTGAATTTGTAGAGAACCGCCGATTGGATGGTAAGATAAATAGGGTTAATATTTTGCGAAAACGTTTTATTATTCACTCACCGAAAGAGTTACCAAAACTGACGGACAGTTGGTTTGAATACAAGGACTTTATGACCATTGGGTATAAAACAAATGCAATGTCCGTTAAACTAATACCGTATTCATTGATACGACTGCCGGCGCCGTACGATAGCGGACGACAGGGTGTGTCCGGCGGTGGTTGTCGTGTTCGGTCGGTCGGAGACACGCAATACGATTGTCTGCAGCGATGCTATCGTAAGCAATACGAGAGTCAATACCCAAACACAACACATTGTTATGCGGACAACGATTTCCGGACCATTCAGTTAACGATTGGCAACAAAATTGTTACCGATTTTATCAATAAATGTTCCCATCGATCGGATATTAACCCAAATGTGTGTCAATACAAATGTCCGGCCGATTGTCGGGAAACTATATATCAGACAATTAGAAGTGAAGTCTATATGTCTCCCATATCTTTCGCGTTCACATCATTTAGTTTTGCAAACAGTTATTATTTGCAACTCAATTACGTCCCAAAACATACGTTTATTAATCTAATCATTAGTGTAGTGAATGTGTTGAGTCTATGGCACGGATTCTCAATCGCAGCTATTTTACAGAATTTCATATTTTATTTGGGAAATAATTTTCGTATATTTTCTTTCGAACGGTTTGTTGGCCAACGCTATCGACGTCTCACCACTCGATTCGGTCGGACATTGACTTTTAAACCACTATATATTCGGGTAATTAATTCGCAAAATTATATAATTATTTAACAAAGTTACGGAGCATGCACACTTAAATTATACACACATGTATAACGGTACTACAAATGCGCGAGTTAATGTTATGTGTATATTTTTATAACTATAATTATAATTTTAGCTCACATTTATGTGCATATTAGCGATAATACTTGGCTATCAATTATACGACGTTTCGGTCGATTATTTTGCTTACAAAACGGTTACCGTATTTGACGTAATGGACAACTCATTGAACCCTCATTTACCGCAAATAAC